CACGTTTAAATCTCCAATGCAAATCAAAACGGTTTTCAAGCAAGAGTAAACAGCAAGTAGCGTTTATATAACCATGCCTTGTTCACCTGTCGTTGACGACCACACTAAAATACTTCACAGTTGTATATTGTCATTCACGTATCTTACACAGGTTAATGCAATGTCTCAGATTTGCTCGATTTCTTCATCCTGTTTTGAGTGTATTACCGTTGATCAGTCAGCGATTTGTGTCGGATGAGACGAGTTGCTTCAAACTGAATTATCAAACGTTTCAGCAACATCTGCAGACCTGAAAACATTTTGAATAGTAAATGTTAATTTTTACATTTGGATAGGCTTAACTTAGATGTAAGCCCTTAACTTTATGCATTTGGGTAGGCATTTTGTGGATCCCTGCGTGTTTCCTCCTTGAAACCGTGCCTTTCAAATTGATTTTGCAGGTCACATCAAATGAGTATTCATCACCGCAATCGTGCCATTGGGTCTGGCTTAACTATATGTTAACGGATATCAACTGTGTTAAGCAGATTTTTTATAATGGCATTTAATGTGTCAGAGGACAAAAAGTAACGACACCATTAGCCGCGTAATCGCTGGTCAGTCTTGTCTTAATTATCTGAGTGCTCGGTTAGCAGAAGCGAACCATTGCACCTTAAGTGTTTTGCCTCGTTCAGAAAGAAGAATATTTGTGCTTTTGGTAATTGTTTTGTTATTTGTTGTATTGTTTCTTGTCGTGAAAATTCCACAATAACAACTCATGCCTTAGCGAATGATCGTATTTTATATGGCTAACTTCCATATGCTTCCTTATTAACTACATCACTTTAGATACATCTGAAAATCCGGAACTGATCTGGAACCCACAGATTCGTACGGAAGTCGTGAATGCACTCCAAATAGAGTACAACAGCTACTGCCTGAACTACTTAAAGCCCGGATACGTGTGGAAGGTAGGTTCAGGGGTCTTGAGTTTGTGATGTGAGGTTTGCGGAACCGTCTCCCCGGATGGGTGCGAATTCTTCCTTTAACTAAGTTCGGACTCCGTCACCCATTTTGCTGTAGTTATCATTTTTTGTAGTTTAGAGATGACAGAAAGTTTTTTTAAGACTGGCGGAATAGTTAGGACAAATCCATTACATTGTGTAGACCCAAAAATTCCTCTAATATTCTGGATTTCGACAAACGTTAGTTTTCAGTACTGTCGATCAACATAAGACTCATAGCGATTTTAATCGCGCCGTATCCTTGCTTCTAGAGACCTACGGACTTTTTAAGTAAGAAGCCCTGGTATTCAAGTACCTCCACAGCATGGATACAAATCTACATTTTTTGGAACTGAGCAATAACGTGTTAGTTTTTGAACAAGTTGTCTTGCCAGCGCAGTCATGCGTCTGTTTTCGCATTCGTGCACTACAAGTGCTATGATGATGTAGAACTTTGACGAGCTCAAAGTGAAGGCAGCTTAAGTCTCTAGAAACAAGCGAATAACATCATTGCGCCATGTGTGTTTTGTGAATCGATATTCAGTGCTGCGTTTTGAATTTTGTAGGATTCTATTCCAATCATACGGTTAATCTGGCCATCAGTCGCCAGGTTAATATCTGGTGATGAAAAATGACGTGAAGCCAATCTCCAATATACTTTAATGATTTGGCTGCATTTTTCATTGAGATTATCGTGCGGTGATATGTTTACGTGCCATTAGCCTGGAGCTCCTTGTTGGGTAAGGCTATGCCTACAGCTGGACGATCTCTATGATTTATAGTTTCGTGTTTCCTTCCAGACATGTGCTACTCATCTATCAAATTACTATATTTTAGTGCTTAGCATGAAGCTTCTTCTTATACTCCAGTACTTCTTTTCAGTATAAACTCAGGCAGCTTCCGCTGTATGGCCAACTGCTTACTTTTAATTGTAGCCTCATGCTGCATTACGTTAAAGACATCGAACTAATTCAGTCGAAGTGTATTAAAGGAACATTTCGCCTGTAGCCCGTTTGGAAGCAGTTCTTTTTTCCCGTTCTTTGTTTTTACGTAGGTCATCATTCGGGAGAATATCAGACTAGTTAAAACGTGTTGGGTTCCTGTCCCGCTTTAGATCATTAGACTTTTATCTTTCAAAGTAGATAAATTATTGACATTTCGTTAGCAGGAAATAGGATGCTACAAGCTGTGTTGTTTAATCAGCTCTAGACGTAAGGCAAATGGCTGACCTGGCTGACGATATTACAAAGATGAATAAAGCCGCACCATGTGCTCAAAGAAAATGGGACCTATAAATGGTATCGAATCATGAAAATATATGAGAGAATCAAATCCCAACGGATACCTGCAAACTTTGTCTCTTTCGACTTTGTCTTATCCTAGTGTAGTCGCCGTTCCTTCAAATCTCATCGATATGATTCTCAGTTATTTGTTTAAAGTCGACGAGTTTATATTTGAAGGAAGAATACATATTTTGCCTCTAAATCTGACTCGTTATGTTCTGTAATGGCGGAGTACAGTGAGTCCTAGCATTGATAAGCATTTTTGCTTATCAACGAACGAATGAACAAGTCTCACTGCCAGAATGCGCAAAACGTTTGAAAGGTGTAGCAGATCAGCTTTTAGTATTTTTTAAGTGAGATATTCTTTTATTTTGTGTAATATTTTTTTTGTTTGTATAGGTTCCTGTTTTTATGGTTGTGTTTAGCTCTCAGACGATTTTCAAGCGAAAGTGAGCGTTGTCCATTCATCTGAAGTGGCTATTGGAGGCGTTTACTTGCGTCTTTATCTTCGCAATCCAAAGTGGAGCCTTCACAGCCCAAAAACGTTTCTTGTCCAGCTGCTGGCCGCTGCAGAAAACGAACTTCGCCAAGAGGCTCCTGATCGCCAAATGGCGTCGCTGATCCGTAAATGCGTTGCAACTTTGCTGGCAAACTATCCTTATCTGGCTGACCAGGTAATCCACTGCTCCCCCTCCTGTTGTGTTCTCGTGTATCGCAAGTGACGCTTTTAGGCATACTCCCTTAATTATGTACCGGTATTTTGTGGTCTTTGGAATTCTGACGACATGGTAGTCGTTCGAACAGTCGTTGCATTGTTGTGTGAGTTTTCCTCTTCTCAGGTTCGCTGACTAGGGTCAGATTGTAACGTCATTTGTTTAATGTTGTCTAACACTTAGGTTTGCGCCAAGTACATTTGCAACCACGCCAGTACGGTCAAAGGCCTTAGGCGAACGATGGACGGTTTTCCAAATTTACTTCATGACACGTGTCGGCTTGTTCGCGTCCTTTCTGCGCAAAATTCCAACAACTTCGTCGAAAATGCACTCCGCCATCGTTTCGTCGAATTCCTTTTGCAGTTTCTCAAATCTGATATCCCGGAAGTACAAAATTCGATGGCGGTTAAAGCTGAAGTGGTTACGGCTCTAAAACTTATGTCAAACAATTCTGTTCATGGCCAGTCGGTAAGAATCGTCGGTTCGGCCATTTTTCATCGCGTTACCAAGTTACCGACATGTTTCTTGCTTAGGTATCGAACGTGCTGAACAAATCATCAATTTGGACCGAATTTCAGGATCAGAAGCATGACCTCTTCCTTTCAGGTCCATCACAAATTGCCTCGTTGCCAGGTTAGTTACATGAATACCTCTTCACTGTGTTTCCAGCTGAAGTTGAGTTGCATTCAAGAAGATTTTGTCAGGTGAAATTATCACCAGTCCTGCTTGTCTTACATGCCGTCATGAGACAGTTAACCGATTGTCCCCGTTTTCTTATTTCAGTCCTCTCGTATTCTGTTCTGCCTGATTAGTTCGCTCACGTAAATGCAAATCTGAAATTTGACTGCAAAGTACTGTACTCGTTCACGTGAATTTTCTGCCCGCAAGTTGATTGCCTGCGCAATTACTCGTCACATCAGCGGTAAATGATATATAGCTGATGAAGTCTTCTGCTTCGCTGCATTGTGATCAAGATCACGACTGTTGTATAATGGAAATCATTAGCTTTGGGGTGCTATTAAAAATTTTGCCTCTGGAATTTGCCCAACGTAAAAAGGGCAAGCTTTTGCATTCTTTGCATTAAACAAGGAAACGGATAAAATGGTTGTTTGCGAACGTGAAACCGATCTGTTGAATCAGCCGATCAGTTTTGTAATGAACGAGTGTACGCTGTATTACTAATTACCTTGACTATTATCACTTATAACTTTAAGTTTCTGACCTGAGTTTAGCAACTTTTTCTTGAAACCATAAATTGTGCTCATGCTACATCTGCCAGTGAAACATATATACCTACTTATACGGTTTTAATGAAAGGCATTCCGTAAAATATGTTGTATTCCTTGCTGCAGAATAGTGTTTTTTAAATGGAACATTCAATCGCATATGCATTACAGTCTGCCTTATTGCATTAACGTCTTGTCTTACTAAACATGAAGTACACTTTACATGCTTGTATGCCCATCATCACTAAATAGTTTCTGACACCTGCTTTATTGAATTTCGCGAAAATGTGTTTATTTGTTTCGTATTTCTTTTCAATTCGCGGATTTTATATACATTTACTTCTTTTAGCTGCCTTCGGTCACAAAGGGTTTCTTACTCAAGATCCGGCTTCCAGTAATCCTCAGGAAAATGTTGATGCGCCATCATTGACTCGATAAAGTTTCAGATTGGAGTTTAACAGCGTATAAATGCACATGTTTTTTTGAACTTAGCAGGCTAATTCAATGTATTACTTATAATAAATATGGCTATGAAAATAGTGAAAAAGCAGAATTGCATCCTTGTGGTTCATAAAGTGTTATTCAGTTGCATTCTTGTTTTAATGTACATATTAGTACGTATAGACCAGATCATAATATCTTGGCACCTGCATAGCATAGATGCACCTCATTAGAGGCCAGTTTATTTTAAACTATTTTTTTCTCTGAAGGTTGCGGTTTACTATTCAAATCTTTCAAGGCACGTTAAATATTTTTTCTTGCAAACACTTGTAATTCTTTTGATAGTAAGTGCACTGCAACAGTCAGCAGTCACTGCACTGCCATTTTTCAATATCATTTAATCAGTCTTATGGTTTTCTTAATTCAACGAAAATTTGAAACTTTAATCTTGAGTCCCAGTTTGCCTCTTAGTAAGGTAATAATAGCAGGCGATTTAGAACTCTTCATCAATACATGATCGAGGCTGCACCCTCTAACCAAATTATAAATGAAGACGGATGCTGGGCAGAGATTTGTAAGATTTTGCTTTAAAGGATTGGTTGAGCCTTTCCAGCAATTGCTCAACAATTGTCCTCCAGATTCCACTTCTGACCGTAAAGTTCTTACCAGTATCAGAGAATAGTGTAGATCTGCCTACAAAACTAGAACCTTGCAACACTTCAGAGTGAAGAAGTCGTGGTGTGACTCGATTCCTCAGAGTTGGTTATATATAATGGAAGATAGTAGTGGTGAAAATGTTAAAATGAGGATTCCTAAATGCTTCTCCCGGAGAATGAAATCAAGGGTTAATTTTCTTCATACGAAAACGAACAAACCTATGCTCTAACTGTTGTGGTTTTACACAGCGGTTCAATTCTCCTGAATCTGTTTCCTTTGATTATCCTGGAAAGACCGCTCAAAACAAGGAAGCTTATGTACAGGGTATATTTTAACTGGTCAAATTCTCTCCCTTCGTTAACAATCACAATCTAAATAGGAATTTCAACTGCATTGTTTACCACTTTCCCCATTTTCACCACTGTTTACTATTACTTAGTCTTCAAAGTTATATTTCATTCCTTTTGTGATCTAAGGATTTGAAGAATTGTCAACATGCCATGCAACACTAAGCAGATTGTTTCCATGAAGGACAGTTTGAAAATTATAAAGCAGGTCGGAGTTCAAGGAGCCTTCTTGGAAATGGGAACCTATAATATCTTTATCTTATGCCTTTAAAAGTTTACCGTCATTGCAAAAAGGTCTAAAGTCACTCCATTTCAGACGGCTAAAATATTTTTGACTATAGCAGGATTCGCAATTTAAATGTTATCTTAGATTGATGCAGTTGAGCTTAAAAACTTGTTAAAGCTCATAGTGTAGCTAACGGTTCTTACGGTCAGGCGTTTGGTCACGTTTGCATCACCAAGTGCATGTTACTTTGCAACCAGAATTTCCAACGCGGTTGTTTCTTGTACGTTTACAAGGCTCACGCTCAACTGGTACCTGAAGTATATAAGTAGGTATACGTGCAGTACGTAAAGTAAGTACTCAGGAAAGATGCTCAAAAGATGCACTTACGACTACAGATTGGATCGCTAATTCACGGTACACAAACTTTTCTGTCAACCGTGGAAATCCAACTGGTAACAAAATTAGTGAAATTAAATACAAAGTTTGACAGAAGATTGACATAACTATTCAAATGTTCTCCTAATCACTGAATTCGTCAAGCCGAAATAACTAGCTGCATTTTTCGTCTGCAGAATATTGCACGTGCGAAGCATCAGAATGTCCACAGAACAGTTGAAACCTTGCAATCAGCAACGATAAATGGTGCACCATTCTGATTGCCGGTTTGATAAACGGAAGTCTTTCCTTATGAAAGTTAGTGTTATGCTGGTTATTCTCTATGGCAAATTGTATGTAATTGTCCAATAAATATCTGTCATAATGTTGTAAAAAGCCGAAGGCCAGTGCGCAGTAACTCATGTGAGGTCGAGGACAAAACTGATGATTTGCATTCTTGCTAATATAGGCTTGTTCAGGCACGTTAGTTCGTTTGGGAAACTGTCGTGACAGGGTATTGCACAAAACTGGAACGAAAGGATCGAAAGCTAGACTGGAACTACGATTCTCAAGAAGTAAACATAAACATGTCCACTATATAGGTAAAAAATTAAGGAAAATACTGAATGCATAACTATTACTAATCTCAGAGAATTTTCAACTAGGAACAATAATCGAGCAACTTCAGTAACAATGCTTCAACACCTCTTCTTCAAACAGGTGAGAAGGTGGGCAAAATGGAGTTTAACAGACTATCGATATAACCCTCTATGTGCGGCAACTATGAGAGTCGAATTCGTTTATTTTCTCTTCCACGTTCAACCGATCTTTCTTTGTCAATTATTCTGTCAAGATGGTAAAAAGCAGTTCATATATACAAAATATATGTTAAATCGTGACACTTGTCACAGCCTACGTACTACTGGCGTGAATCGAAGGGTCGAATCAAGAATCTCTTACTCTTTTGCATCCTGGATCCTCGAATATAACTACAGCGTGGGAGTTGTCACTTGTAGAAAACGATTGCATTTATAGAATCATGTGAATCGTCGGTG